TTTCAAAATGATCCTCACAAAACTAAATATCTAGTGACCATATTGGCAACGCGCATCTGACTAAGGAAAAAGCAATTTTTCTTAAATTTCAATACCCTTTCTATTTAACTAATAACCATATGTGGTTAATTTTTACAGGACTTTCCTTCTGGCATATTTAAAATAATTTAGTTTTATGATATATTTCTAACAATGTTGACCAAATTTGAATACTGTTCACATAAAGTCAAGTTGATAACTAAAACTACAATTAGCTATATCACATTTTCATTAAAACTGTTGTAATTTTGTATCTTTATCCTGAAAATGTCCAATTTCCTTCAGAATCTCTCAAACAAAACGAAAATACGACACCTATATTGGTATTCTAATCAAGTTCTGTAGGTTTTATTCTATTCTATTTATATTTTATATTTTCCTAAATAATTCTACTTATCCCATTTCTTATAATTCAAACTTATCCCGAAAGCGCAGCTGTTATGGCTAACCTATTCCTGACCGACAAATTTACTTTCACCTGGAATCGATTCGAACAGCTCTCAGCGCTCTACAATGGCGAATTTTAATAAATCTCATTATAGTTTTCTGTACAGAGGTCACGTACAAACAGACCACCGTTACATATAGTTATAGATAACTTCCTACTACGGTTAGCATGGCCGCAAAACCTTAATTATATAAAACGAGCTGTTGCCCGCGACTTCGTCCGCGTGGTATTAGAAAACATGCGAACTATATAAATTACAAAAAGCTACGTATCCCTTGGGAACCGGACATTTCTCGGGGATGAAGCTTATCCCATGTGTACTCCAGACTTTGTTTTATATCTATGCCAAATTTCAATAAGATATGTTAAAGCGTTGCAGAATGATTGAGTAAACATTAAAAAACTAAATTATTGAATCCCACGGGAACCGTAACTATTCTCGGGATAAAAAGTAGCCTATGTGTTCTTCCAGACTATGCTCTAAACCTGTGTCAAATTTCATGAAGATCCGTTCAGCCGTTTAGGCTAAAAACGCTAACAAACATCCATCCTTCCATCTAAACTTTTGCATTTATAGTATTAGTAAGAAGTAAGATTACATTATAAATTCACCTTTTACAAATGTTTAAGAGGGCAGTAAACTCTAGAAATAAAGTTCTCTTTAAGCTCTTAAAAAATAATAAAGGTTTGCATTTTTAACTTTTTAATTTTGTTTTTATTAATTTAATGTGTTATCTGTGATCATTAATCAATACACAGTCCCTAAGATCAAGCCACTTTCTTTTAAATCTCTCAAAATCAACTAAAAACTGTAGAAATTTATATTAACATAAATAATTTAGACCATAAGGTCGGCTTTCCAGTTACTTTTTTTCTTAGTGTTTTTGATTATACTTCATGAAATGTGTTTCCAAAAGTAACTTGTTTATTCCATAGAAACTTAGTTCAATTTATTAATGAATCACTAGGCTATGTCGAAATAAATTAAAAATTCAGCTACTAGCATCAGTAATTAACGTATTCTTTACTATAGGTATATCTATACTAATGTAATAAAGCATAAACACACACTAATTCGTGACGTAAGATGTCAGCAATCACAGCATATTTTTGAATAATTCTTTCTTTAATAAAAATCCCTACACTCACGTCGCGCTTTAGGCTATATATTTTCACGCTATTAAACTTATTGGGTAAATAAAATGGATAAAAACGCTAATGTGGGAAAGAGACCATAAGTTGCTGCCAACATCAAGGAAGCAAGATTGCCAAGGTTTGTATTGTCATTTTGACATTTGCAATTGGTCATTTGACACATGTGAAGGAAATAATAAAAATTTCATAATTTCATGTGGATGAAGCCGCACGGCAACCGCTAGTTAAGTTATAAATACCGTAGATAACTTTTCCATTCTTAAAACTACGTCATTAAACATAACTGCGTTGTTATTACAATGAGTGAATGCACAAAAAAATATCACAGCGAGTATGACACATGACCATAAAAATAAATGCTTATTGCCCTTGCTATTGTGTTATCGATTAAGATTAAATTTATTTCGAGACTTTTATCTCTGTAATTATTCAAATAACCATAAAAACTTTATATAAGGAAGAAAGTTCAGTATACATAGTTTCAGAGCAAATTTTCAAATCAATTGAAGATACAGTCAGAGTATTTTGCGGTGTCCCACCTTTAAGGGAACAATCGTTTGAAAAAAATGGAATGAAACGAGAAAAAACCAATACAACGCAGCTAAATATATCTGTAAGAAAAAAAGTTGATTAGTAATACATAGCTAATACTTTAAATTATTACCCCATCGTTTGCACCTCACTGCTGTTTAGTAAATTACTAGCTGTTACCACGACTTCGCCCGTGTGAAATTAAAAAAATAATAAAAAATGTATGTTACGCACTGATAACGGAGTTTTTTAATGGTGAAGGAATTTTTGAAATTGGTCTAGTAGTTGAGTTATTTCAATACATATAAAAATCCAAAAATACAAATCTTTTCTTTTATATAATACTAACTATCGCCCGCGACTTCGGCCGCGTGAAATTAAAAAAAACAAATGTGAGTAGTCTATGTGTTCTTCCAGACTATCCTCTACATCTATGCCAAATTTCATCGAGATCCGTTCAGCCGTTTGGGCTACAAACTCTAACATCCATCCATCCATCCATCTAAACTTAGATTTGTAGGAAGAGGGGGAGTTTGTCTCATTGCAATGAACAAGGCATCTATCTTATGTTCCAATACCGCGGAATTCCGCAACTGTACACAATATCTGTATTAAATTGTTTCGTCATCCATTTTTTATTAAAATATTAATAATACAACGCTGGGTCTTCCCCGCAGACACCCTAATAGTGAAACTTAAAACATAAATGGCCGACGTGTTAAAAGGTTGGGAACCTCTGGATACACAGAGAAAACTCCTATGACGGTAATCAAAGATACTAAGTAAATGTTCATTTTTCCTCCTTTAAAAAACAAACAGGAGGGAATTTACAAAAAATATATTTTATTAATTGATTCTGCTCCATTATCAGTATTAATCTTTTTATCTGATTTCAACAAACAATAGGATTATAGATTTGTTTTTAATCTTTTAAGGTTTTATTGATCTATTAATTCGTTGGCAGGAAAAATACTAAAGAGAAAAAAAAATAGCTTCGCAAACCACTTGTCATGTTCTTCATAAAAAGTTTAAAATTCGAAGAATTTGGTTCAAATTATACGTTTTTTTTACTTTATTCGCTTACTAAAACATTTTTAATTGGAGAAAGCGTAAATAATCGAATCAGAATCGGTTTAATTTGGCATAAAATTATGATAACTGGCCGGTAAAAGTGAAGCCCTTCTTGTTGCATGAATGTTTACGAAAATAAACAGCGCTTAATGCCGGGTTCACACTTGGCCAGTACAGTTGGACAGTTGCGAAACCAGTCGTAAATTGTATGGACTCAATAACGCCAGTTAGTGTTTACACTATCAGTTGATCCAATCCAGTTAGTGATTGCTACTTACAGTAAAGTTGTATTGGCCAAGTGGCCAAGTGTGAACAGCGTATTAGTAAAGTTCACGCAATCTTCTGTTTGCTTCTTTTTAAAATTCGGTAGTCCTAAATATTTAAACAAATTGTTAAAACCAAAATGCTTATAATAAGCAAGCGGCCACCTTAATCTATCGAAATGGAAAACGACCGCTGCCCATAAACATCCGCAAATGCAGATGTGTTGCCTAACCTTAATTGACGGAGGAGGACACGCACATAAAAAGGACATTTCCCCTTCATATGCTTCTCCTCCACCTTCAAATCCACTTTTCCATCCTTTCATCTTAAGAAAAGGGTGGAAAGGAAAGAGACTAAATTAGGCCTCCGGCACCATACTTATCAGACTACTTCACGCTTTTTTTTTCTGTGTGGTTAATAATTTAATTTTTATTGATTACATTTTATAAATCTTTCGCCATTCGGTTAGATCAACATGTCATATACGCTTTTTATTATAAACCAAAACAATCGAGGAGTTTGTTTTCGCAATTTTGCTAATCCGATAACAATTTCAAACACTAATTTTCTAAGAATATCGCATGACATTCAACTATTGTCATAAAATAATTACTTTTATTAGAGGCCATATTTATTTTATTATCCTATATAACGAAATTGTTCAGGAAATTGTGAAATACAAAGGTTCTTTGCTCTGATTGCAAAAATGTACTTTCAATACACTATCTGTCAATAACAGCGTGTATAAAACAATGACGTCATTCTGATTATCTAATTCAGCAATAGTACTCACTGAATTCTAAGAAATACGTAATTTCCTCAATATTCAAATGATATAGTAAAAGGCGCATATATGAATAATACTTAAGAGTCATAGAAACCATTATTTACAAATAAATCTCGATTACTACAAATATTTGAGTAAAATTGTCTATAACCTTTACGGTTAAGAAATGTTAAAGGCACAGAAAATATATTGGACTAGCTTTAGCCCGCGACTACGTCTGCGTGGAATTAAAAAAAAACAAAAGTTAGTAGCCTATGTGTTCTTCCAGAGTATCCTCTACATCTATGCGAAATTTCATCAAGATCCGTTTAGCCGTATAGGCTACAAAATATAACATCCATCCAAACTTTCACATTTATAATATTAGTAAGATAAAAGCGTGACGTAGGCCTTATTTTAGTTAATAACACTGAGGCCACATTTTTTCGCCTTTTATTCTGTGGATTAGGAATTTATATGTAATAGTTAAATCTATGATTGTTTCGTAACCCCAAGCGCCGCAGAAAACATTTCTCAAACTGTCATATGTTTTGTACGAGCGTCATGTTCAAATACAAATCAGTCACGGTCGACAAATGTTAGGTCAGAACTATCCAACATTTAATCTAAAAGATAATCATTTATGAGACTGTACAATATCATTTATTGTGATAATAAACGCTCCTATCTCGTTACAATATTAGCGAGATGCAATAAAACACACAATATAAAACAATTGCTTTATTTCCCTAGGACTTCCTTGCCATAATTTTAAATAAATAAGCTAAATAATAAAATCACAACTTAATGAATACTTAAAATTATCTCGAGCGTCAGTTTTGAGTTTTTTGAATTTGTAAAGTTTCAACAAAACAACGGCCAAAAGATATCAAATGTCGACGTCCTAAGCAATTCACTTATTGTCTATGGCAGGTAAAATGGAGTCAAAAATATATTTAAATACTAACGAGGAACATCAAAGGAACAAACGAATTAAAAAAATACGCAGCACGTAAATATATAAACTTTAGAATTAAAAAATCAAAAGAAGAGTACCACAAGTATTGGGCGAACGATACCAAACGTTCCATCAAACATTTGCCCAAACATTTGCGGCAAGCTTCTTTTGATTTAACAATTACTCGGTACCTAAGATCGCGTTGTAAAAATTGGTGTATTCAGCTAGGTTTGTTTTAGTTCAATTTATTACAAATTCGTTTACTATTTACATGCACTCGTATCAACCGCGGACTGCGCCTCAAATCGATTCAAATTATAAACTTTTACCTAAACATACATCACAGATAGATACAAAATAATCAAATGACTATAGACACACAAACACACGCACATTGTAGCATTGTGATTAGCACGAAGGGATTCTGAAAGCGAGAAAGAAAATGTGCCGAGGGCTGCAGAACAAAACATAAATTTGTTTCCTGCATTCAAAAAGGATATTTTTTATTCAACAAGAAAGTAAGAAGGAAGAATTACTAAAAAATATGCGATAAAACATTACAATGAATATTGAAATTCAAGTATTAAGACAAAATAGAAAATGGCAAGCACTTACAAATTACTACAATTATCTTATTAATTCTAAGTTCTGATAACTTCACTGACATTTGTTTTTAAAACATCAACGAGTGACTAGATATCTTATAAAATAACAATTGTTGTATACATTTCATGTATCATTTTAGTTTATTAATGATTAGTCGTTTTTAACTTTGTTGCCAACTAGACCTTTCTAGTCGGGGAATAAAAAAATAAATAAAATACATCTCCAAAACATTCTACGCAAGTTTCTTTCGAAGTCAATGCAACTGTTAAAATTTACTTGAACTGACCGTAACATTACACCTCCACCTATCATTATCTCATTTGGGCTTCGAATCTTTTCTATTCGCATCAGTACTATGTTCACTATTTTTGGGAACATTGTCTTTATCAGGTTTCTTACTGCAATTATCAAGATTGTCAGTCCCGTCTTGAGATTTGGGTTTAGACTCCGATTTAGTCTGAAATTCATCGTTCAACATTCTTTCGAAATCAGCTGAAAGTTTATTGATATTTTTCTTCATTGCTGTGTCCGGATATGTCTGCAAAATATGTGTCAATGAATATATTAAACGAGAACTGTTCTATAAGATATAGGAAACACGCACCTTAAGATACAATCTAACGTTGTTAAAGATGCGTCTAAAATCTTGGACGACTTGGTCATAATCTGTGTATGAGGAATTTTTCAATTTTGTCGAAATATCGTGGAGACACATTGGATATTTGACTACTTCATAAAATCTTGGAGCCTGCAAGCAAAAGAAACCATAAGTTACAAGCACTTTTATACAAAAACTACACCACAAAATGTATGTTTTACCACTTTTATATCCATATCGTGTTGAATAAAAGTAGATTCATTTATTTGTGAAAACTTCCTCAAAATAGATTCAAATTTCTTATTGACAGAAGCTGGTAGAGGCTTCTTCTTCTTGGGATGGTACCACATGCCGGATACTGAAACCTTCGATTTACCAGCTGGTTTCTTCTCCTTTTCATCACGAATATAGTTGCCAGTATGGTCAAAACTAGGGCAGCGTACATTCTCTTTCGCTTCGATATTTTTAGCAACAGGTTCATTGTATTCATTTCTATCGAAAGATTTGGTTTCTTGATCAGAGTTTTTAGTAGTACATTCAGAGTGCTGTTGACCAGCGCATTCGCTTTGCACTACATTACCTTTGTCCATATCCCATAAATCGGGTAAAGATTTCATTGCAAAATTCTTAGAATGCGTTTCAGTTGTCCACGGTCCAAGGTCATTATTTTCTATCTTGCTTTTTGCCTCTTTAAACTCATCTGAATATTCCTCACTGACGCCAAGTCCTAGAGCATCATACAACCGAGCTGTATCTGATTTAGAACCTTCCTGCAAGAGATCTACAAATTTTGGTACGGATTGTTTTGCAGCCTCCCAAGCACGGTCTGATGTCAACGCGCTCAGCACATCCAGAGTATCAACGGTTCTTAAGTCCAAACCTGGTAGTAATGGTCTGGCAATCATTTTTTGATCATCGCCCAATACATCATCCGAACGTCTAGGTATCAAACACGGCCATGACTCCATGTTGTATTTCGGCTGCGGTGCCAATGTAACTGGTGGAAAAGGTACTTTTAATTTCAAAGCTGCATTATCGTCAATGCAGTTGTCGAAGGTTACATCTTGAGAATTACCTATACCGAAAGGTGTAGGATCGGCAGGTTTTATTGGGACCTTATAACTCCCAGGTTTCATATAAACTTTACTCATCTCATGAAACTCATCATTATCAGGATCAATAAATTGCACGGGGCCAGATATATTAGTAGGAAGCACAACATTAGACGGAATCTGAATGTTGTGCGAATGATGAGTTATAAATTCATTGGGTTCTTTTTGAACCATCTGACCCCACGCCGCAAAAAAATCGGCCTCTTCCTTTGTGTCGCCACAACTGTTATTCTTCTGCACATAGCAACCTCGTACGTCGTTAGTCGACGCCATGCTTGGAATTAAAGTTTTTTCCACGTGACTTAATGGTATCATTTTAGCTTTAAGATCTAAATCTCTACGGTGCATCACATCGCATGGCATATTTCCCAAAAGCGGTTGACCTGGAGCTTTGCCGAGTTCAGCATCCATTTTGTGTTTAAGTTGATTATACAATTCTCTTTGATCAGCATAACACATGCTTTCTAAAACACGGAAGTCTGGCATATTTGTGATAGTCCACGACTGACGCGGCTTCGTCTCGCGGACGTTGCAAGGGTCGCATTTTATTTGAGATCTTTGAAATGAATCCATCTCAGATTGATCGTTCAGGGGATAAAAGTTATGGGAATTCTGTGGCGGTGCTACGGGAAACTTTTTATAGCTTACCCCTGATCTAGCCGGCCACGGCCCTTCGTTATATGATTGACAGACGACTTGATTTTGATTTTGAATCCACGGCGGCTGTATTGCATTGTACAGTTGAGGTGACACATTTACTGGTCTAGGAGTACTAACATGCGGTTTAGTTTGTTGGAATTTATTTGGATTTTGGTGTCTAGGAGCTGCGGAATTTGTAGCATAGTAGTTATGAGTAAAACTCTTCTGCTCCATTGTAAATCCATGATCTAGACATTTGAAAGTTTTATAAATATGAGTCAACATTTCTTTGGTAACCGCTTGCCATTGTACAAAACATTCTCGTATGTTAGGGCTGTAATATTTGTTTTCGATTCTGGAGAATGTGTCGTGTTTTTCGCTTAGCAATTCTTTAACACCTTTCCAACCGTCAAGGATACGTACAAAAGAGAAAATAAAGTTCTTTATTACCCATGGTATGCCTTGGGAATGTAAGTTGGCAACTGCACTGTCAGGTTTTTGAACATTGGATCTTGTTTTAGCGCAAATGGAATGTATATTTTTGAAGCAGGGTCTATTGTGATGCGCTATCGCTATATTTTCAGCATCAGTGCAGGCTTCTATTGCTAATTGTACGATTTGATTTGGAATCTGATCGTGAATGACAATTTTATCTAAAGCAGTTAAAAGAACATCAGACGATCCACAGCGGCTATTTTTATCCTCTTCTTGATTAATATTTTTTGTATTCTGTTTGGAATTACCAGCATCGCTTCGTAGATTTGCATTTGGATCAGAAATATTACAGAGTTCCGAAACCATTCTTTCACCTTCGAGAAAAAAGTCAAGGCTCGACGTGGATTCAGATTTCAATGTCTTGTCCTGTTTCCTTAAACGATCTATCTCAGTACTATTGTCTTTGTAACGTTCGTGATAACGAATATCACTACTGTAAGCATTCTTTGTGTCTTGACTCTTAACTATTTTCTTCTTGGCTCCAGTTCCGATCGGTTCCTGGTTAGTGGACCACGAGCTCTGCGAGCGTCTGTCAGAATTAAGACGATCTGCCATTATCCCCGGTCCGCTGTAGCTCGACGAAGAAGGGTCAAACACCAAGCCCACGAGAGGTGAATTAGGTGGTGAACTGAACGTGGGGACCGATGGATTGTTGTACCTAAAACGTTTTCTTTAATTAGAGCTCTATTTAAAATATTTTTATCTACTGTTTTAATACATTTTGACAGCCGTCATAGTACCGCAATTCGTACAGAAATTACTAAATACCGGGATATTCAGCAGTTACAAAAATATGACTTTAAACCTGTCTATTAGACCCGTCAAAATAATCTAAATAATTGTACAGTACCTTTGATTCTGATACTGCTGACTGGAGGATGATGCTTCGTACACTCCAGGAGCACCTCTGCCGTAGTTACCAGGGTTTTGTTCAGGTAATTCTTTGCTGTTGCCACCTAAGGAAAAAAATAATTTAAAAATACTGTCGATACTAAAACTTAAGTCGAAAACTAGTATTGCTGTCATTGACAAAGTGCAATTGTATTTGAGTATCTTACTGAAGGTCTTCTGCGACATCAAGGGATACTGATGCGAGGGTCCTTGGTAGCAGTCGCCGTGGTGCGCGCCCGCCCTGCCCGCCTCCGCCTTCCCGCCGCGGCTCTCACCAGGCTTACTCGACCCCTCGCTGCCATAATCTTGCATTTGGCTTCGGTATCGCTACAAATTGGTTTAAAATAAATGAATAGAGGCACTGTTCAGGTCAAACTCTAAAAAAAATAAAAAATTCGATATCGTAAGTTGTTGATTAAAAGATTTTTGTGGTGATGTGTCTAAAATCGGGTAACGGTTAATGTCGAAAAAATTTTAAAATGCTCAAGCAGTTTGTATCTGCTGCAACAAAAATTTTTTTTTCTTGTTCCGCTATTTAAATATGGCTGCTGAACCTCCCTTACGAAAAAGAGTGTCTTCAAACTGTTGGGTTTATTGCCTTTTATCTCAAGATTTCATTATTGTTTTTTACTAAAAACAACAAGATCCCAAAACATAATTCAGAAACTTAAATTTAAAAATTAAAAATTCACGTTAAATCTACAGATTCTTAAAAAAAAAACTTTATAGAGAAATCCAAAAATTGTAAAAAGAGATGATAATTATCTCGGTACGTTTTATGTAAAAAGGATTTCCAAAAAAATTCGCTACAAATGCTCACTTGGTACTTTTTATAAAATCTAGATGGCCCCTGTGAAAAAAATTTTGCAATGATTTTTTCACGAAAAACCTGGCAAAAATCATGAATTTCCGTAAATTTTAACGATAACTTCTTTTTTCCTTCAAAACTACTTTTTATTTTAACAGGTATTAATGTTTTACGATCTTTTAACAAGAAATGTACTCATTAGAAGCAAAATTGATCATTTTAAGGTTTCAGCCACTTACCTTTTGTGATTCAACTGGTTCCTATGCAGGAGGTCCGTGTTAGAACATTGTACAAATTAAAAAACTATTCCTTCTACTTAAAGCCAATTCGGCTGACGGAAATATAGCAATTTTTTTACAAAAAAGCAATCTATTCTTATGTATTAGTCGAAATGATTTCACTCGATTTGTCGCGTGCGATGCTATGGTCTTCCTTATTTTCTAAATGAAGCGTTTTAAAGAAGTCTAAAATCACGGTCGATCTTAGATTTGTACTGAATAATGTCTGACTTGCCAAATAATTGAAACCAACCATATGATCTTGTTCATTTGTTTGCCGATTGGATGTCATTCGAATTTTGCTTTTTAGTGGCTATTTGACTGTTAGTTTATATGTCATAAGAACTTCATAAAGATTCATTGTGAATTATATTAAAAAATTCAAATCAGATTTTGGTAAATATAAGCGGAAAATATCTAAGAAACAAAGAGACGAATCTAAAAAACCAGTGGAAATAAAGATATTAAACAATAACACTAAACCCAAAACTCACAGAGCTGTACGAGTTGTTTTAATGATCGGAGTAACTGAGGGTCATAAAGAGAAAACACATACAACAACGCCAAGCTTATTTCTTTATTTAAAAAGAACCTGTTACGTCTAACTACTTTACGATAATTTAACTATCTAACAAGAACAATCCCGGAGTAAGCTATGAGCATCGCAGTGAGAAGATTGGGCGCTGTTAGACCGTGGCTGTTGTTGCAGAAATCGCTGAAGCAAGAACACACTTCTTGACGTCCTCCATACCCTGCGCGGTGGTAGCACATACCCTGGAATAGAAGCCACAGATTATAATATACTTTATACGAAACATAATACGACAGTGGATCATATAGCAGCTCAAAAGTAAAGTGTCGTCCGTATACAATAACTTGTCTATCCCCATTTTTGACTCTGTTTTAGAATGATATGGGAGTTTCCAAGTCCAGCTACCTCTTCCTTAAAGCCGACCAAAGCACCTACAGTTTCGAAAGAGCCTCCAGTTGTTCTATAACCCATTTCTTTTACAAAACACTTATGCAACCACTGCTGTTGACTTTAAATTAGCAATTAGTTTCCAACCAGTCTACTTTCTTACCTTATATTTGGTCTCATCCCAGCCACAAGAGCGTATAATCCTGTTCTCAGGATACTTGCCGTTAACCGCGTGTTCGACATGCTGGACTATCTTTCTGCAGAGTGTGTGTGTGATGCCGCGGTCGTGCTCTGAGCAGTTCCGTTTTAGACTTTCTGGAAGAACAGCAGCGCTGCAGTAGGTGTTTGTCGCGCTATTGCATTCGTAGCACATTATTGTTGATCCTGAAAATTGTAACTTTATTAGCAATGAAATAGTGAAAAAGAACACTAAAAGATTCTGTTGTTAAACGTCTGTACGAAGTTTTTTCTTCTGTATTCTATTTCAGTCCTTTTTCCTTCGTTTTAATATGGTTTAATAGCTTAAAATGCGTTCAACATTGATCTTGTGGTAAACTAATTTGAGTCAGGTATTGTCGGTAAGCGTCATGGCTCCAAAATTCAAATCCCAATCGATGAAAATTAGCTTTTTGCTGTAAATGAATATAAAATGCTAGATTGTTTAGGAACTTCTAAGCTTTTCATTTATGTAATTGTTCGATTTAAAATTGTAAACCTATAAAATAATTACTTATGTATTAAAATATATAACGACTATACAAATATAAGGATCAAATAAACTAAAAAGTACTTAAATCCGATGTAATTAATACAAATTATTATTAATTGGACGTTATTTTATTTATCACTAAAATCTTTACGAATTTAGGATATTATACGTTTGATAAAGAAATACATACCGTACTCGATAAATCCACAAACGAGAAGAAATGCAACTGCTAAAGTGTCCATTCTTGCACCTCCCCGTTGTCAGGCCAGACTGACACGCCAAGCTAGCAACTTATATAACCTCTCTACTGTATATGTATAGCATTGATCCAATTCTGTCATTACACGGCTACAGGACGTATCTCATTGTATCATACAAAAGGAAACATGCAATTTGTTAGATTGATTTTGTTACGATTTTCTGACACGTTGTTTATACAATATTAATGACATTAAAAAGATTTATGACTTTTGGCCCCAATTGTCATCCTTGAGGCATTCCTTACCTAAATTATATTAAATCATAGGAATCTTAAAAACTACAACTATAACAGGTATTTATACTTGTTGTAGATGGTAAATAAAACACGATTAAATTAAAAATGTTGTAATAAATGTACACAGATCAAAAACAACGATATAAGCTAATAAAGATTTCGTTTTCGTTCTACAAAACATTAACACTCGAGGTAAGGTTTGTTAGACATAATTATAACCTATTAGACTATCTTTGACATTTACATCTGCTAATTGGTTAGCTATATAACTCTTTAAAGAACACATAGGGGTTTAAATTACCATATCGTAATTATCGTAGCCCATTCAACAATAACATTCGTATCTTCTGCATAATATCTTCAGATCCATGCTATTCAGGATAATTACAATGACATCAACTAATTCTAGGATTCTGGTAACTTTAGTAATTATGGTATTTATAAGTTTAAAACTTAAGCAAGGCGAGTGTGAGTAGCATTAGGGCGGTCGCTCCGACTGGCACGGTGGCGGAGTTACAGCCGTCTTCAAGACATGAGCATACCTCCTGTCTACCACCGAAACCTGACCGCTGGTAGCAACGACCCTGTTGACATACAGAAGTAACAATACCAATATATAGAAAAATTTCTAATGAAATGGCGGATGACAGAGTTATTTGGATGACGAAAACCCGGCGCGCCCTACGGTAGCAGAATAAGGTAGTGATAATGGTTATAGAAAATTCTCTTTTTTAACCTCTACTACAGCGTATTGGATGACTTTTCCCATATTAGTACTGTTTATTAATTCCTCTGGAAAGTTCTCATGTTAGAATTTGATTCCCGATCGAATGCTGGCGATTGGATCCATAAAGGAGGTTAAAAATAACTTTGTTCGAATGCTGTACAAAATTTTGGGAAAATAGTCGTTCGTTTGTTAGAAGGGATAGTCAGTGAGGAAAAGATTTATCCGACGTTCTACAGAGAAGGAAAATATCGTGATAAAATTTGCACAAAAGACAATAAAAACCCAAACATACGATTTAAGCCAAGTCACAGAACTAGCATAGTTAAGTAAGACGTAATCGTGTCTATTCAAGTACATTTAAGCCTTTAAGGACATATGAGTATGTTAAACTTGTACCTTATAGCTGGTATCATCCCAGCCGCAGCCTCTAATAACGCGGCTGTCTGGCGGCATACCGTTCATCTCGAACTCTACCACCTGTGTGATCTTCCTGCACATGGTGTCCTTAGGTCCGCTGCACGGCAGCCGCAGCGAATCCGGCAGTTTATCCAGTAAGCACCGCGAGTCATTATGGCTATTGCACTGGTAGCAAACTATCGCCAACCCTGCATACAAAAGTCAACTTTAACATATGGATTTAACAAATTCCACGATTGTATTTCAACACGCAAATCTTAGAGCGTAAATACAACACAACTGTTTAGTCTCGCTTTGACTCTTATGAGTTTATATAGAGGTGCGGACAACTCGATTTTTAGTTGTGCGACTTAACAGTTGATTGGCTGCGAAACAATAGACAATCGTAAAACAGTTGTGCGATACTTTAGTCAAAGGTGTGCGCTTGCTCTAAATATATAACAGAGTTTTAAATGATAAGGCCATGTTTGAATACCATATTCCTTTAAAACTTAACGTCTATTAGATAAATATTGTTTAAGAAGCGAAGTATTAAAGATTCTTTTAAGTATTTGGCCTTAAATTAATACTGCATCGATCTTAGGACTCACAGGGTAGCAACTAAGTAATCTAAAACCTAGGCTATGAAACATTCTTTAACAAACCCACGACAAATACATCTGACATCTGTAATTGACCACTTAAGGTTGATTGTGGTTTCTTGTTTATTTTTACTCATCCAGGAATAAGCGTTTTATATACATACTTTGGATATATGATCTTTAGGGCCTGTCCCACCACTGGCTGATAGAGGCTCAGATAGCTTAAAAATGACGTCATCAGATAAGGGAACAAAATCCGATATTTCCATTACATTTTTTACACGTTGGATTTTTAAAAGACAGTTTACAATTTGGTGGGACAGGTCAATTTTAGAGCATAGAAAATGGGTTGCCAAAGTTTCCATTTATTTTATCACTAGCTTTCGCCAGCGACTCCGTCCGCGTGGAATTAAAAGAAACAAAAGTGAATAGCCTATGTGTTCTTTCAGACTATCCTCTACATATATGCTAAATTTCATCGAAATCCGTTTAGCCGTTTAGGCTACAAACTCTAACAAACATCCATCCATCCATCTAAATTTTCACATTTATAATATTAGTAAGAAGTAAGATAATATTAGTAAGATTACATAGTGATTCATTGCTGTTAGGTTGATCGAAGTTTCAACAGATTAAAACTCAAGTTTCGTACTTCGGAAACGCATTTCATGAAGTTATCGAATCAAAAACACGACTAATTAAAAGTAGCTAGGAAACCGGCCATTAGACCTTTTTTATTACTTTACTAGTTTATGTAGAATGCCAACGCCTATAAACAGAATAGTACAATATGCGACATACGCAGCTAATTGTACAATTAAAACTGAAGTAGTTATAGTCTGAAAAGTCATGTAGAGTATCTCTAGATATTCATTTTTGTTAACTTGATGTAAGTGCGCTGTATATCGAAACACTATTTCATGTAACGATATAAAATTCTATTTGTGAACTGGAGGTAAACCATCAAACCGTTGTAGCGATACGTCACTTGCAAAACTAGGAATAGAATATTTACATTAATATCTATATCGTATGCGAAAGCTGATATATTGGCAACCTAAAGCATGTAACAGAAGTCTACAATACTTTACGCTTTACGAGATAAATGCTGTGAGTGGACTCGTTAAATTAGTGACTTAACTTTTTTTGACAATATCAGTTTGATAAAAACTAAACCTAACTCATCCTTTATTGTCGAAGTTCTAAAAAGACTGTTAAAGAAACAAATTTAATTGTAAAGTTAAGGGATTTTAAACGACTTCCGTTGCTTCTACGGCGGAATTAAATAAGTAGAAACCGACTTCAAGACATATTTTCTTCCTATTTACTAACTGCTTTTTAAAGTTATGGTAATTCTTTTTTAACGGTTCTTAAAATTATTGAATAAAATTGTTTGTTCCTCATAAATGCGTACTGTTATTTACAAATCCCATATCATATGAAAAACCACACCTCAGCTATAATAACAGCAACAATAGTAATCGCTGCTGGTTTTCAGATAAAAAAGCATATTCGACAAAAATCGAATTCGTAATCAAAATTGCTATTGATTTAAAACTTAGGTTATAAAAGAGTAGTTTAGTATTGAAGCGTAAAGCTTTCGTATGTATGCGTAACGAAAATAATTAACAAATTCTCGACCTAAAATCATCTTTATATTTCTATACATAAAGCCCAAAAATTAATTACAAAACCACAGAATCAATCACCAATTGAGCATAATAACAAACCTTGATGCAGCAAGCTACAAATTACCGCCAAAACGCACAGCGTCACTTGCGCCATTTTGTAAATTGGGGCGTTTAGGTAGTCGCACCAGTAATGGGCCCGCTCGCGCCGGTTCCCGCCGGCCAGTACCGCGCGCGCGTCTCTCTGAAATACGACTGGCTAACAAATAGGTGCTACTAGTCCACGCTTTGATGTTATATCTATCATCTAAATGAACGGTGAGCGACGTTTATCCAATTGCCAGTAATACCGGTAAATTGGTTAACATATACGACGGTATATTGAATAAGGATATCGTCTAAGATGACTCTGGATGTCACCGGTTGTGCAATGTAACCCACACCTGGATACGGAAAGTATCGGGCTGGATCTGAGGGTGCGACTATGCCCCCAGTGATAGTCGAACTATTCTTAAACCTGACATTTACAATCTTTGAACATTATTGTTCTGGATGTAAGGAAAATTAAATGTACCTTAAATCATTTTGTTACTCAAACCGCAGCAATGAAATACTACATTTAGTTAAGTTCTTCGTATATTCATATAAGTATTAATTAATCTTTATTAAGTACGAAACAATGTGTTTTAACTCAATTAATATCAACAATGATTTCACTCTACAAATACATTAGCAAGGCCTGATTACATTAGCAAGAATCTGAATACAGTTATTGTTTCAACCAAATTAACCGGATTAAGCAATGCATCATGGTTACTGGCTACTGCTGGCTCGGTTGGGATTCGATTCCAGTGTACAATAGGACACTGAACGCTGTTACGAATCAAACTTATTTTGAATACGGTTTTATCTATACTATTATAATAAAGCGTAAACACACACTTCTTTGTTGCCTAAGATGTCAGCAATTGCAGAAAATTTTCGAATAGTTCTTTTTTTAATAAAAAGCTCTACACTTATGTCACGCTTTAGGCTATATATTTTCACGTCATTAACTTAAATATTTCGGATAAAAACCCTAAAGTGGGAAAGAGACTAAAAGTTGATGCCAACATCAAGGAAGTAAGGTTGTCATGGTTTGTCATCACGTCATGTCATTTTGACATTTGCAATTGATAATTTGACACATGTAAGCAATAAAAAAAATTACATAATTTCATGCGGATGAAGTCGCACCGGAACAGCTTTTAGTTAATAAAATTATAGATACGCCATATTTTTTTGTATTTAAGCATTCATTTACTGCGTCTATTGTAAGTATATTGTACAATCTATTCGTTGTTCCAATTGACACATGAGATCCAATTCAATTAGGGCGCATTGAGGTCGCAAAGGACGCGCCCTTTGTCAATACATCGCTATATCGTCCGCTTTGACCTATGGTTATTGCTTTGGATACAGGCAAAATAGGAAACTTCTAGATTGAATTATTCTCACTTTTTTTGCGCTTGTTTTATTTCAATCTACCATACTTCTGTCATCTATTTTACAATTAAAACTAAATTGTAAAGTTTTCTACATATTCTTATGGCAATACCATCTTACTTCTTGCGAAATGCGAAAGTTTAGATAGATGGATTTTTATTAGAATTTATAGCCTAAACTGCTGAACGGATCTCGATGAAATTTAGCATACATGTAGAGCATAGTCTGGAAGAACTTATAGCTTACTTACTTTTGTTGTTAACGGGGGGTATTGAACAAAAGCTAGTAAGTAATCTTATTTATCAGGAAGTTAGCCGTGTCATGTAATGTGTTTGTCCAGTACTTAGTTATTCAAGTGGGCGGGAATGATCGCAGCGTTTCCTGTACAGCCCATTAGCGTGATGTACGCGGCCTCTACGCGCTGCCGCGTGCCAAACGCAAATTGTCAAGTATCCTGCGCACACTAACACATGTAGGCATTTTAGACGATGAACGGTTTTTTTTATTGTAAGCATATTATTTTAATGTCTTAGATCTAGAAGGTAAAACCTGGTGCATATACCCTAAATGGAATGGAATAAAAACAGGACGATGATGTTTATTTGGAAATCTGAAATCTCACTTAGGGCCTGTCCCATCACTGAATGATAGAGGCCCAGATAGCTTAAAAATGACGTCACTGTCAGATAAAAAATTTACAATTTGATGGGACAGGCCGTTATCTTACTAATATAATATATGCGAAAGTTTAAATGGATGGATGTTTGTTATAGTTCTTACACTAAACTGCTGAACGGATTTCGATGAAAGGCATAGAAGTAATGCATACTCTGGAAGAACACATAGACTACTTTTTATAATTTATTCATATTTCTTGAAATCAATTCAACTTTGCACGTTATAGGTTTTTTTTTTCATAAATCCAACATTAATTGTGCTCCATATTCAGTTATCTTGAGTTTCTGCATTTCGTTGACATTAAAATACGAAATAAAGAAATTACATTTAACAGACTATTGTATCATTATTGTTAAAATAATTTGGAGCAGGCTAATGTTAATCGATGTCAAAGGCTAACAAACGCTTGTAGAAACAATTTACAATGAGGTAGATTGAAAATTTGGTATTAAGGCAAGTCTAAAAGTCAATCTATAATGCCGTAATTCAACTAGCCGTGCAAAATCTAGATATTTCAATAGTACATAGTGTATAACCGTTTTTCGTATTCGCTGCGGCTACCATCCTGTAATTGGATATATAGGCCAATAAAATTGGAGTGTCTGTTTGTAATATCATAAGCAAAAATTGCAGATTTCGGAAAGATCATGTATTTGCAATGCTGATAACGAAAATCGCATTTAAATTTTGTTTTGTCTGTCTGTCCGTTAGCCGCTTTTGTCCCGGGTAATCTCCGTAACGACTGGGCCGATTTCGAATGGACTTTCACTGAAGGGCATATTATAGCCTACTTTTTTATCTTAATATTACGTGGACGATGTCGCCGGCAATTGCTAGTTTAGAAATAAAATAAAAGAAATACATATAAGTGTCGAGAATTTTTTTTCGGCTACAATGATTATAATATATATACAGAGTATACGTACAGAATATCTATATAATTTATAACATTATAACCTGTAATTCACTGTTACCAATAAAGTATTTGTATTTATATGTCGTCCGTGTGTGCAAGATTGGTCTCGTGAGCATCAATTGCGGGGCGGGTCTTCCTGCCAATCTGCTGTACTTCCTCCTCACAGCTCGCAGCGGCTACACACTACTGATTATCCGACCCAGTAACTACATCACTTATAAAAAACCACAGGATATTTTGAAACTATTTTTAAAAGAGATTTTATTATCTGACATTGACCAAATGTATTCTTAAATGGTTACTGCTGCATTAAAAGAAAATAATAAAAAATATGTAAATTAATGGTATAGTTACTTAATATTTAGAAACGCTTTTAATTATCTGTTAACAACAATATTTTGATAAATACGTGAATAACTAAGTCAATTTTCAAAGATTAAAATTTATCGTTTGTAGGTCAACACCTGGGTATAATACCCAAAACAGTCCTGTCAAAGATATACATTCAAAATAAAATTTTATTTTTAATTTTAATTCTGTGCTTCGAAACAACTGGCGAGTCATTGGGTCACAAGCAATAGGCGACTCGCAAACGATTCTTTTCCGTTAATCAACTAACTCAATTACAGTAGACCTAGATACAACTCGCCCTGCTAACGGCAAAGATAAACGCATCGTGTAGAATGAACACACAGATTCAAAATAAATCTTCAATTTAAATGCAACTAATAGACCAAGTTGGGATTTATAATTTTATAACTTTTTTAGCATTATTTAGAAAACAGGCTTACCGTTTATAAGTATCTAGAAATTATGACGACTTTATTTTTAAAATGCGGAAATACGATGGCGTTGTTTTTTCATCAATGGAAAATGCGTACTAACCTGTTTAATTTTTATTTAATGACAACAATAAAGATGTTTTGTTTATTATTTATTTATTTAAAATGCGTACCTAGAACTTATTCAACTATAACCGAGATACGTTAATCCCTCGAGATTACAAACCCTTTCCTATTTTTGTTTTGAGTTGTTATGATGCGTTCACTAGATGGCGCTGTGTGTTGGAAACTTTATTACCATGAAGCTGCCTTCTGTAAACTCAATATCCTTGGGATTTTAAAAACGAATCGCTTACGCTATAGTTATATTAATACGAGTATATTATAGTCATACTTTGTTTCCTTGTAAAAAACAATTACTTTCATACCATGTGACACTGAGGAATTTACAGCGACCTCATTCCCGCGAATTATGTTTTGCTTTATTAATGTTTCCTCTTCCAGAGGCATACCTTTCCGCGAGACGATAGACTCACGCACAAAACCAAACCTATCCGGTTCTACCCCTTTATGCGTCAAAGAGATTACAATGACTGACCGACTTATATATCCCAGTTTATACTCACGTTCAGACAGTCGCCGTCTGGCTTCTAGTGAAATATAACGCAGGAAAATTTAAATTAATTCAAAGTATAAAATCTGAAAATCTTTTTCATATTGATAATTTCGTTGAGTTAGTATTTTTTTAGTTATATGGGACATATTATGTTTTTATCTTTTTTAACTATTACTTATTGTAGTACTCTGTGAAATTTAAGTATGCAATAGTCTTGCCATTTTACTACGTTTACCGTAGCCCAGTTCGAATTTAATTAGAGGATATTTGATACATCCGTTTTAGTATAAGCCAACACAATGTATATAAGTTAGTTTTTATGCAGCATATTGAATGGAATATACGCAGTCCAAAGTTAACAGTGCGTGTCAAGTCATATTCTGGGAAGGTCAAACGATGTTATAACGATATCAGTGCGATAGTAAAGTAAGTCGCCATCCATTAGTGATTTTTACCAATGATGTAGCATTATTAACATTAATTCTTGTTAAATTTAGTGCATATTTAAAGGATAGGAAATTTATTTATAATTTCTGTTTTATTTTACAGTCTTACATCCGGAGCAGACTCCTGACCTCCGGGTAATTCGTAGTTGCGGCTGGGTGAAGCACAAGAGAGAATGCTACACGGCAGACAACAAAGATCACTTGGAGACCGTCTGTCAATGCTTCGGTGACATGTGTAACGCGGGAAATATCTTGGAAAACGTCAAACTGACAGTTCTTGGGACTCTGTCAGTCATCTTTCTTTATTTAAATAATTGGAGGAGTAATCTTTAAAGGAATCTGGCCATTTGTAAGGTTATTTATTCACTTATATGTATGGTAAATAGTTGTTAAAAATCCATCGCACGTTGCGTTAATATCAATATTATATCTAGTCATCTAAAATCTTATAAAACATTTATGTAACGTTTAAAGATAAATTTAATATTTGTAAGTCATTGTATGGACAATTCCTAAATCAAGAGTAAAATGATTTCTTTGCCTGTGATCAATTAGGGTTTATTAAAAAACAAAAATTGCTCAAAACCATTATTATTTCTATATCTTGTTATTGTTAGTACAAATATTATTTATTCTATTTATATAAGTTTAGTTACTAATAACTGCTTTTAAGGATATTAATAAATATATCTTACTAAAAACATTTTTTACTTATTAGGATGTTAGAACTATTAAAAAATAAATTTGTTCAGAATAAGTCCGCTTATTGTCACCGTATTAACATAAAGCCGATGCTTTATTGAATGTCAAGTGACACTGCAGTTTGACAGCCGCCGCTGGCCTCCGCTGTCGTTGCCCTTTTGACATAACAGATAAAAAAATATTCATTTAAAACAAAATGCTCGTAATAACGATAATATCTGCATTTTTGCTATTCAATTGTGTTGATTATGGTAAGTTTTAACTGTTAATTAATTATTTATTACTTTAATTAGCTTTCGCCCGCGTCTCCGTTCGCGTGGAATTAAAACAACAAAAGGAAGTAGCATATGTGTTCTTCCAGACTATCCTCTGCATCTATGCAAAATTTTGTCGAGACGCGTTCAGCCTTTTAGGGTACAAACTCTAACAAACATCCATCCATCTAAACTTTCACATTTATAATATTAGTAAGATTATCCTTGCTATGACCCATAATGTAATTAATTAAAATATTCATTCCCTTGAAGTAGAGAGTGATGAAGGTTATTATTTGGCGCGATTTCCTTATCAGCATAGATTGAGTGTGACAAATCAACACTGAGGATCACTCTTAGTGTACAATTAACATTAAATTGGCTTAATAGTTAACTTCTCAGTCTAAATTCCTGTAATTTGTGATCCGATGTTTGTGTGTTTGTATTCCAGCCATTAGTGTTACAGTCTTTTTAGTTTTTTTCTTTGATTACATTAATTATTGTTCCCCGCAGTGTTCAGTATCCGCTGTTATGATTGCAACAGCGCTAATAACTCGATGTGCCTGGACCCTACGGTATACGACGCGGAGACTGTCAGAAAGTTTCTTGGTACCATCGACTGCCAAGCTGACGTCGAAGCTCCTAACAGGAAGGACTTCTTCTGCAGGAAGATTGTGCAGACCAGTTCGTAACTTGTTTTGATATGGTTTTCACTTTACACGAAAACACTAGCGTACAGGACTCGAAATTACAGTCTCACAGGAAACCTCCAAGGAATAGTTGAAAGGTGCCGTAGATAATGCGTCCAGGGCGTTGGTAAACCTAATGCCGGGACTACGTATGTGTGGCAAAACAATACACGGTTGTTCAAGGTCAAATCTTTCGGGCAAAACCTAAAGTGTGTAGCCTGCATTAACTTTAGAACCGCCTATAACCACATGGTTTTAGTAACAATTAAGGGTTCGATTCCGTTAAACACAGTTTACATGTTACTGTTTTTTAAACATTAATATCTTAACAAATAAAGTTTATCATAAACAACTTTTTTTAATAACTACGAAATTATCAGAGTATATGGGTTTTTATATTTTTACCCGAATCTAAACTACTCAGTTAGATATCTCAATTAAATGCTTAAATATTGTAACACTAGTTCGCATACGGCTTTATCCGCATGACATTATAAAAACTTTATTTTATTGTTTACATTTATTAAATTATAAATTGCAAATGTCAAAATTACCGTTACCATAATAACCTTGCTTCCTTAATAATGGCAGGCATAAAGGTTTTTTTTTTCAATTTGTTTATTCCCTAAGTTTAATAGTGTGAAAATATATAGCCTAAACCATATGGTAATTGTATGGCTTTTTTAAAAGAAATAATTATTCGAAAATATGCTGTGATTGCTGACATCCTACGCCACAAAATGTGTTTACGCTTTATTATATTACTATAGATTAAATTTACAAGAATAGGTTATCGAATACAGGTTATCTAAAAGTTATTAGAACGATTTCTCCTAAGATATGAAACAGGAACTTTAACTAAAAAATCCATTTTTGTCATTTTTTTTAAATTGTGAGTTTGAAATTCTGTCAATATATTTTAGTAAAAACAATAAAAAAGTGTACACGTCATTGTCAGGTGTGGGGTTCGAACCCACGCTCCCTCTCGGGAACCAGAGCTTAAATCTGGCGCCTTAGACCACTCGGCCAACCTGACACATGCGCAATCACAACAATAAATTATACTTCATACTATCGCACGCCATAAGAATGCACACTTCGACTAAACTGTCGCCCAACTGTTGTGCGATTGTCGATTGTTTTGCAGCCTTCAACTGTTTAGTTACACAACTAATAATCGAGTAGTTCGCCTCCATATTAGCTTAGAAGAATCAAAGGAAGACTAAACAGTTGTGCGATAGATTAGTTTCAGAATGAATTTGATACTGCTAACACGTTGGACTCAATCAGTGTTACCAAAACATTTTTTTTTGCAGTAATGTTCAAAGGTCATGAACCCGAGGTCCGAGTGACCCGGGGCTGCGGCTGGGTGCGTCACCACAGGGACTGCTACAAGGCGGACAACGAGGACCATCTAGAGACCGTCTGTCAGTGCTTCCAAGACGACTGTAATGCTGGAACCGCGCTATCATATACTACCTTCCTTGTTACGGCTCTTGGTATACTGGTTATTTGTTTGTAGTAAAGTTTTTTAAATTGATATGTTGTTTATTGTACTATTCATTACTGTAGCTTCTATTCTTGAATTATCCAGTATTGATGTTTCCAGTTTTAGTGAAAGTCCACAGTTAAAATTTATGAAATTAAGTTTATTGCAAGTCGAACTGCAAACACAATAAAATGCTTAGCTTTGTATCTTTAACTATTCAATAATAATGTAATAGTTTAACCTATAGTATCAATATAGACGTAAAATCGTTTATGGGAGCGATAACCGTTCAAGTAGAAAGGTTGTTCAAAGGTCGCGTCTACGTCAAGTCTGGAGAATAAAACACATGCACAAGAAAACTTATACCATATGATGTACTTTTTATTTCTTAATTTATTATTTCGCAATAAAATTCAAATGAAGGATTCTGGATTATCTGTTAAATTGCTTAATCTTTGGTTTCCAAAATTTATGGCTGAATGATGCAGTTCCATTGTAAAAAAATCTTTAAAAATTATAATGCTCTCTGGTTCCCAGTTCCCGCCTTTATAATACGCTAAAGAGAGGCCAGTGGCCTACATTCATGCGACAATATGGCGGAAGCCCGCCATCACGTGCTGTCACGTCGGATGCCCCCGCTTTGTGTTCCACAGAGGACGACAATTCCATACATTTGAATAAACTTTAACTTAGAATGGAGTATTGTTATATTATAAAAAATCAATGTTTATTCCACAGAATCTTTTGGTAATTTAATCCGTCAATAAAGAATGGGAGGCATGAGTTCCCATTTTTCTTAGAAGCATTACTAGAAATTACATTTAATGTAGTCTGATAGGTAATGTAAGAGAATAAGCAATATATCTTACTAATATCATAAATGCGAAAGTTTTGATGGATGGATGGATGTTTGTTAGAGTTTGTAGTCTTAATTGCTGGATCTCGATAAAATTTAGCATATACGTAAAGCATAGTCCGGAAGAACACATAGGCTACTTACTTTTATTTTTCAATACCCGACGGAGTCGTGGGCAACAGCTAGTAAAAGCATAAATGCATTATATTTCTGAAAAAAAAAACGTATTTATTACTGTTAAGCGCCATCTAGTGGCGATAACTTACACTTCTTAAGTTTCTATAGTGCTACTTTTAATCACGAGATGGCTCATTTTTCTGTAGCAAAATCAATAAAAACCCAACAAGATAGAAATAATTACGTTTCTTAGTATTTATTTTCGATTCGATCAATTATACTGAATAAAACTTAAAATCAAGATACATCTTACATTTTTGTCTAAAATATAATCATTATTTATTAAAAATGAATTTGATTTTAACGTTTATTAATAGACGAGTAAATTTAATTAACACGTAATTATTTCCATCTGATGTAATGAAATAATTTTTTTGATATTGAAAAACGCATTTAATCAATAATTTGCAACCCGTAGTCATAAGTCAGGTTGGCCGAGTGGTCTAAGGCGCCAGATTTAAGCTCTGGTTCCCGAGAGGGAGCGTGGGTTCGAACCCCACACCTGACAGAAACTTTTTTTTGTTTTTTTTTTCTTCTAAATTTTCCTTATTGCGTATAAATAAATTTCCTGCAAACATAAATGTTTAATCAGGGTCACTTAACCTAAAATGCTATGAAAAAAACGTTATGGCTACACACCTAGATTTAACATTTTAAATTGCCCTTATTGCTAATTACTTACACTAAAACCATTTTATTTTTATTTTCCAATCAGAAAATATAAGATCCCCTTTTCAAATATCCACTTGTACAGTTTTCACACAACACGACAATCTTATCTTTCCCTCATATTTCAATCCCTTCCCCTTCCCTGTCTAGACATTCTTTTCTTTGTTAAGTGTATCGACTTCCTAAGCTTGTTTCAAAAGTACTTTCCGATAATAAAATAAATAAGCAATCTTATCCTCATACAGTAAGATTTAAAATGCTTTGTCTAAGTCGATAAAATTGCTTAGTGTTAGACATTTTGATTGAGTGCTCTGCTAGATTAGGAAATAGGAAACAATGTCAAAATAATTTCTTTATTTGGAGAATAATATTTTATTAATTGGTTATTAATTGTTTTAACCTTATCCACATTTCAGCAGTAATATTCCAAAACAGAATAACCTCAAAATCTTATTATACTAAACGAAATTGCAGTGTATTTGTGGGTTTTATTAACAGGCATATAAATTGAGGTTATGAGGTAAATAACAAATTTATTATTGGCTATTGAATACGACTCTAGTTAGTTACAAATATATTTTAATCCATGTATTAATAAATACTGTGTACGTCATCAATTTTAGTAAAAAAAGAAACATAGCTCCTCCGACTCAAGAAATAAACGCTTATTTTGAATCTGTATTTGTGTTAGTGTGTATCTGATTGCGCATGTGTGTATTGCGTTAGTGTGCGTTTTGTGCGTTTACATAAGACTGTTTTATTTTATACCTTATAAAAATGGAATAGAGTTTGTTATCGTTTAAATTTTCTACAATTCTGTTCCAGAGATTACCAGAGATTTCGTCCGGTACTTTTCCGAAGATAACGCTTGTATTTACAAACACAACATATTGCGCAGTTTCAATGCAATATTTAATCAAAACAATGATAGACGCGGTCATGGAATTGTTGACATTATTTACAATATTAAATAATATTCAATACTACTTTCGAATATAATTCTTTTAACACTTATTTCTCTGTATTTACTTCATAAATGTATGTTAATATTGACTTAACTGTTGTCTGTTTACATAAGATTTTATCGCTATACGAAAATAAATGTTTTACGTCAAAACAAAAGAATTAAGATACATTAGTCTTTTAAACATTTTTCTAAGTATCATGAGATAGTGTGAACATAACAATATTACCGACCTTACTAATTACTTAACTAAAGTAATAAATCCAAAAGTTTAGATGGATGGATGTTTGTTGTAGAGTTTGTTGTTTGTAGAGTTTGCCTAAACTGCTGAACGGATTGCAATGAAATTTGGCATAGACGTAGAGGATAATCTGGAAGAACACATAGGCTACTCACTATTGCTTTTTTAATTCCACGCGGACGGAGTCACAAACGAAAGCTAGTTTTAATATAAGACAATGATTAGAGAACCTTGATTTTTACAAAAAATGTACAATTCACTAACAGTGTTTAGATAAAGTAGCAATATTTTAATCTCTGTCCACCCTATCTGTATTGACAAGCGTATATCATAACGTATGTCAAGTAGATAATTTAGGGTATAGGTATTTCCCCTTTTAAATATTTTATTTATTACTATTACATGAGTAGGTACAGTGCTATTCAAACTTTATTGGGGCTAAAGGAGATATAATATTTATTATACGGTACTGAATAATGAAATTTTACTAATATTATAAATGCGAAAGTTTAGACGGATGTTTGTTAGAGTTTGTAGCCTAAACGACTGAACGAATCTTTATGAAATTTGGCATAGATGTAGAGGACAGTGTGGAAAAACACATAGGCTACTAAATCTAGATTTAGTTCCATGCGGGCGAAAGCTAGAATCTTTAAAGGCAAAGTTTTTAAAAACAAAAATGTTACGCAATAAAATATGCTTTGTGTTACTTTTGTTCCGTTGTAATTGGTTCAATTCGTAGAAAGAAAATGAAAATTACAGAAAAATGCCCACTTATTTAGAATTCACAACAGTAATAAAGTAAACAAACAAGCTATAGTTATTACTAAGTTTAGCGACTTTAAACAGTCTATAGTACTTTCATGGTATTACGTAATTATTTTTCCCCGTATTATGGTTCGTTTCTGTGAATCACTACAACGTCACAGTTCGAGCAAACAAACGACTAATATTCTAATTGTTTCCCCACGCCTTCGTTCATGATACAGTGTAGATAAATTGTAATATTTCCGGCCATTCCTCAGACGTCATTAATGTTTCGTCTGTCCTGTTCTTTCGTACCATGTTTTGTGCATGTTGAAAAGGGATAAAAGATAGCTTGTGTCATTATGTGCTTTAATAGTTGTCATAGAGTTTCTCAAGTGGAAGTAATTCCGCATTTCATCTAATGATTGCATAAAGAAGCGGAATTTAATTTTTATTTTCATATCGTTTTCTTATGTTCGTGTCCGAACATTTTAACAAAATCATGGTCATACGAAATATTGATCCCAAATTCCATTGAATTGAGGTTGTGCTACACCTCAATATCGATCGAAACTATACACTAGACAAAGTACAGTTCTGCATACAAGTAAAAGTACACTTTAGTACAAAGAGATAGAGCATTTTGTATTTTGTACACGACTGTACTGTAGGGATCAAGGTCACTGCCCAGCCTTAATGGTTAGCACTTAGTGTGATGGTTTTTGTACTGATTGAGTAATAAAGGTAACGCTAATCATTTTATTTCGTCATCCATTTTCTAGATTACAAAACATCGTTTATAAATTACTTAGAAAGGGTCAATCGCTATATTTTACTTAACTCTGATCCCATTAGAAATAAAGTGGATTTAAAAAAAGAATGCGACGTATTTTAATTAATTATAATTTAAACTAATTTTAAAAACAATACAACGTTTTGTTTAAATTAGTTGAAACTGGACACTGGATTCTTCTTCCTACATGTTCAAACTGACAGCAGACCGAAGGTTGCACATGTATGGCTTCCAGTAAGAAAAAAATTACAGACTCATTTATTATAAGTATATTATAATTTTAATTTGTGGAAGTATCTTCTTAATTATCACATTTTCACCGATCTGGGTTTAAATCTGGTGGAATTTTTTGTTGTCAAGTTGAAATGAGACCTGTCGTCGAGTACTTATTGATATGTAAGGAGCGATAAGTCTCATTGTTGTTAAGGTATTTTGCTGCATAAACCTTGCACACATGCTACAGTATTTACAGTATAAACAGTTACCATGTGCGCGTTTTGTTTTGACGCGTCACACACACAAATAGAATCTGAACACGGCACAAGGCACACATCGCACGCGGAATGTGAATGACGCAGGAAAAGGGGGCAAGGGGAGAGGAAGCCAAACGGAAACGACGCTTTATATGCCCCGCGCGAACGCAGATCGAACCAGTTTATTTTCAAAGGTAAACAAAGAAAGTCGCACTTAGAGCACATCTTCAGTTCAGACCGGGCTTACAGCCAGAGAAATGGGTATGTACAACTTTATTTTTTATCTATTAACAAACTATCCATACAATATTCAAATTATTTTATAACTCAGCTGGTTATAAACAATTATTTCATTTAATGACGCCATTTATGTTTTTGCATTGACGATGCTTATTTTATCTGTATTTGTTTTGTTAAAAGTCATGATTTAAATAAACCAATGAGAACAAATAATTGAAGGTTGAATTTGCAGGCTGATTTTCAATGTTATTGAACCAGACGTTTATTGTATACAATGACAAACACGTGTTTCTCACGTGTAAATATAGATTCACGTGACGTATTTTGTAAATAGAATTTTGTTTGTGCTTTAACGTATTAAAAAGTACATTAACAAAGACTTTTCCCTCTATAACTTAGTTAATATAGTCTATTTGATATTGAAACACATCCCTTCAATGACCTTGAATGACGAATGACGCGGATGAGTCAGCAATTACATAATATGGCACTAAGTTAAGGGTTGGTCGTCGTTACTTATGACACTACATTATGCGTCATAGTAAAAATCGAACATCAAAGAGTAGATTCCCAAACTTTTTCTCGTAGACGTTTGTTTTCTGTCGTAAATAATGGAGTAGAATGTATCATTAGACATGAAAAAATGACTCATCCAGTAACGTAGCGCTTTTTTTTTCTCAATTCAATTAAGTACAACATCCCACTACATGTTTACTTAGTTCAGGTATCGCAGTATTACGGTCATGTTAGGGATTGCTTGAACCACATTGTTTTGTTACTAGGCGAAAGATACAGAGCAACTCGATAGTAGAATTGGAACAAGCACAACTGGCAAATTAAAATGTCTTTTTTTCCTTTTTACAGAATCGTTAAATATAAAACCGTTAAGTAAGGACATAGAGTGGTCTCCGGAAGCGTCGCAGGGCGTGGGGGCCACAGGGGTCGCGGGCCGCGAACCGGCCCCGACTGATTTGGCCTCCACCTCGAGCGAGGAGCGCGCCATCCGCCGCGTTATGGGCCGCTGGGGCGCCGAGTGGTTGAGCTGACTCGGCTCCGGTCTTCCTAAACCCGGTCCCCAGTGGCCGGCGGACCACCCCCTGCCACCTCCGCGGTGGGGGGCCCCGCGCCCGGCTCTGCGCCTCTCCTTGCAGCAGTACGAGGATCTGGTCGCAAAAGCCGAGGCGATATTGAGCCGTTTAGTAGTCTCCGAAAACTATGATTCCGTCAACAACTTCCTTACATTGTACGACTCGTACATGGCTTCATCGGATGAAACTCTAGAAGAGTTCTTCCCGAAGTACAATCCGCCTATTAGGGCTCACAAGCACACCTGTGTTGGTCTAGGAATGGAAGTGATGAAACGTCTTAAGGTATTGGAGAAAGATTTCCCTGG